TTCGGTGACAAGAGAGAGATGGGTGGTGGTGGTGCTGTTAATAAGAGAGAGAGAGAGAGAGAGAGATAGAGGCATTGGAATCATAAAATGATGGATGGGGTTGGGGTGGGGTGGGGTGCGTTGGAGGGAGTAAAGATAATCAGTCCTTGTTGGCCCGACGACACTGATGCATCTTCCCACTGCCTCTCCACGTTCCATGTCCTCACTCCATTACTCTCTCTCTTCTGGCAACCAGAAGCAGGCATGTTCATAAGCTTAGACAGTATTATGATATGTCACATTTGTTTGCTCTCATGTTTTTCACTCGTACACAAATGTTTCTCTCTAAAACACATGTTTTGTTGCCTATTTGGAACCATTTGTGATCCTCCCTCTCTCTGACCGCGCTTTGGATTTTTACTCCACTCACTATTAACTCATGGTTTTCTTGTATTTCTTTCCAAACCTCTCTTTCTCTAGCAGTGTAGGAAAGCACGATTTGGGCTTCAAAGCAGTCTAGGAAACCTCTCTTTCCTATACAGGTCAAGTATTGACAAAAAAAAAAAATAATATATATATATATATATATATATAAAAGTCTCCAAAAATATGAAAAATATATTTAAAGTATAATTAAACAAAATACATAAAAAAAGTGAAAAAAAATGGATTTTGAAAAATCGCTTTGTGACTAGAGATATGAAGTGGTATACAGTGAGACAATTTACCTTTGATGCAAGACGGTCACAATTTGTAGCTTGGATTTGTCACATAGTTTGAAATTTTTTTTTTTTAAGTTTGAGTGTTCTCAATAAAATAATTGCAACCACCCAATTTCACATCCAATAGTCAAGATTAACGTTACCACCATGTACTAAAAGTAGACAGTATCATTCTCTATTATCCCATAGCTATTTTAGAAATAAAAAAAAAAAAGTGAAAATGTAAAAGTAAGTACTCATTGCCTAAATACTTCACAATCTTTGCCAAAATAATGAAAAACATAAAATCACATACTACAAATATTTTTCTTACTTTATATTTGATAAATTTATACGAAATTATTTTTGAAGATCTCGAACTCGACCACCAAGCATGGGATACTTGGGCTGGCCAAGGTTGCGAGCTCGGGTTACTCAGGCAAGTCCGGTCTCTACTCTCTGGTCACGCTTTGGGTCCGTTTTTATGTCAACAAATTTGTTGCTCCTCTGTCATCTACACACACAATTGAGGCTCCATAACCACCAACTGATCACTCTCTTTTCCTCACGCACATACAACTTTGATTCTTTCAACATGCATTTATGATCCCCTCCCCTTCAAAACCCACCTCTCTCTCTCTAACAAAGTGGATTTTGGGCCTGATTATTCTCTCTCCACTTACAAAAAAAATAAATTAGAAGTCCCTCTCTCTCTACTAGATTGTTGCCAACTATTTCTTTCCCTTTTCATAATGGTTCATGGACTTGGCAGAGGCTATTGGCTTTTACTTTTCTCTTTCCATTTTATGCCTCCCCTTTAGCCAGCTCTTATCACTATGGTTGAGGTCATTATTTATACATCTGGCTTCCCTTTCCCTCTCTAATTGGTAGGTTATGCACAAGTTTGTGTGTGCTACCCTTTACCCCCATAACGAAAGGGACAAAATTTTGAAAGGAATTTAAGCATGAATAATTTACTCTCTCTGCAACTTATAATGAAAGCGTTTCAAATACCGATTGCCTACTCTTGCTGTTACCGTATGAAACGTGACATGAACCAAGAGTTTCTGTCTCTTCCTCCATTAATGAGTATTTTATAATATGATAAGTATGAATTTAAGTGGAATATAACGCCTCATGTATAAGATAAGCATGAACCGTAGGACGCGCTGATGAATCGCTGTAGAAACATGAACATCAGTATTATAAAATATAAATAGATAAAGTAGAAGGAAAAATATTATATAAAGTTGACATCTTATACGGTAGAATGAAGGTGCACCTCAAAAATTTATCGACAAATGCTGCTTTGATGTTAAACCATCGAATTATTAAGATGTATGGATATGAAAAAAGAAAAGATTTTGAGTTTAAAAAAAATATATCTTATAATACATTATTTTTACGGTCCATTTTTAAGATTTTCATACAATTGTAGATCTGGTTGATTTTGAACCATTTTTGGAGTTTAAAATTTTATAATTGTATTTTATGGGGTGTCCCTCACTTTGATTGTTTAAGGTCACTACCTCATGCAAACCACACCCAATTTTTAAAAGGTGTGGTTTGATTAAGATGTCAACCTTAAACAATCTAAATCTACTACTAAAAACCCTTATCATGGCCTTAAAATATATTATTAGCCCTAATTATGAGAATTGGAGCTAAAAAAACGATGTAAATTGGGAAGAGCTCTAAACAATTAAAAATTTTAAAATGGGTAGTCTATATATGGTGTTCTAAGCAATTTTTAGGATTTGAATTTTTTTTTCATGTCCATACATCTGGAGGGCGAGATAATCAATTTTAGTGCTTTTCAAAGTCGAAACATCTATTTTTGGTATATTTTTATGTGCACCTTATTTCTACACTATAAAGTTGACTCCTTATATAAATATTTTTCCTTTTTTAAATTACCATATGAAGCCACACATTTCATGACTAGATGGTAAGTTTGAGTTATAATCAATAATGAATCACTTGTCACTAACAAATTAGTTTAGATTAATTAGAGAGTGAGTCCAGGATCCAAATATTAAAAATGTATGACCAAAATTTTTGTGAAATTCACCAAACGCTTTTTTGCTCTCTTCTATAAAACTGAAACGTTGGTCGAAATTCACCATTATTTATGTCATATATGCATTCGTGTAAAGGTTAGTTTTAGAAAATGGCAAATGACGAAACCACTTCAACTACCCTGAATTTGGGGAAATAACCTAAGAATGACGATAATGCCCACCAACGCCTTTACGTGTTTTGAAATTTCAGAAATTTGAAACGGTTCCGGATGAGCTCCAAAACCGTCATTCTAGAATATGCCTCAAATCTGGGTCCCTTTTAATAATTTTCAAACGATGGATATTATTTGGTAAACATTTGATTTGGGCCACGAAATTCGTCGAAAGAAACCAAAATTGGTCATCATCAATTCATTTATTTCCATTTAATGTAATTACTTTGTTTAGGAAAAAAAATTAGGGTGACATTTGTCTAAGGTGCCTTCTTCACCTCTAAATATTGTTTGGACAGGTAATCGCGGTGTCAAAAACTATGCGATTGTTTGTCTTTTTATCTCTGGTTATTAAATAAAAAAATAAAAAATTGATAAAGATCAAACAGACTTATAAACACTCTAAAACCTTGAAAATAGAGTGTCCACATATATTTTTAGGACTTTAAATTCTTCTCTTTGTAATCATACATCTTGATGTCACGATAATCAAAGTAAAAGGGTTATCAACATCATAACACTCACTTGAGGGGGATTTTTGATGTGCATGTTAAATCAATAGTATAAAGTTAACACCTTTTGCATCACCTCTTGGCATGGCTCCTAACAATATGGGGGATTTCAAAGGGTTTTGGAGTTGGGAATTGACATGGCTATTGAACTATAATGCACCCCGTCAATATAGAGAGGGATTCAAAAATCCTAATAGAGATCTTGGGAGATTGTTTGGGAGACTTTACGGAGTGCATATTGCGCAAACTTCACTTCCTTATTAGTACTACATGCATGATAAAAATAGAAGATTTCTCATGTTTTTCTTTTCTCTCATACAAATATCTATTAATAGGAGGCTAAATTCATCACGAATCATACAATATTTTCCTCTTTGTTATTAATGAAAATACGCCAGGACCCAAATCCCCACTATTTACCCAAAAAAAAGCAAAAATGCAAAAAAAAATAACGCCTTGCGTAAATTTTTTTTAAAAATTATAGCGTATGATTAACACAAAATTTATCACTAACCATTCAGGGGGTATTTTGGTAATTGAATTAGAAGAATGTCGGGTTATGCAGCTTAGAGTGATTTTATAAGAGGAATAATAATAATAAAGGGAAAATGGGACATTGTGGGGTGGGGCGGGGCGGGCAGGCGAGAGACAGGCACTAAATGGTCGATTAGCGTGGGGGAGGTCAAACCGAGGACAGATAGGGAAAGCGAGAAGAGAGAATAGGCGAGGAGAGTTATTGGAAGTGATGAGAGAGAAACTCGATAGAGGAAATCGAGGAAAGACAGCTTAGAGAGAGAAAACTGGTGATAGAGAACCGAGAAAAAAATTAAAGTAGTGGGAGAAAATCCATGAGAGAGAAAAGTGGAGAGAATAGAGAGACAAAGTGGGGGGCGGGGCGGGGCGGGGCGGGGCGGGGCGAGAGTTGACGGGCTGCGTGGTGGGAGAATAGTCAGTCCGGGGAAAGGGGAAATCCGGGATTGGTGTGAGATGAATTGAGAGAGAGAGTGGGTGGAGGGACAGGCGTGGTGCGCGGCTGCCGTGCCGGGTCTCGCCGCACGGTAGACGCAGCCGCCTGGTGGGGCCACCCACGAACAAAAGCCAAGCTCACTAACAAGAATCAAGAGAGAGAAAGAGAGACATTTATTAGAGAGAGAAAATCAACCGTTTCTCACTCACATATCATATATTTTTTACGTGCATTGATGCTGCTTAACGCAACAGCAGGCCACGACGTGCCGAACCAGCTGGCGGGCTCGTCCCACGCGCGGCAGCGCGAGGCCCGCTGCACACGCACGCAAACGATTTGATGCCGTATCGGCCGCCAAGGACCCGGCCTCGATAAGTAAAGAACCAAACGGTCCCTTTCTCGCTCTCTCTAAAACTCACTTTCCCTCGCTAAAAATGAAAGTTTTAAGGGCTTTGGACCGATTCGTTGTACCCAAAACCAAGAAAAATAAAAAGAAAGGAAGGGAAAAGAAGAGGATGAATGTGAATGTGAATGTGTGCGGGTGAGAAGGGGTGGGGATGAGATATTGATTCTTTCTTTGGTTTGCTTTCTCCTCTCCTCTCCTTTCCTTTCCTTTCTTGCGGATTCCGCCTCCCCTCCAACTCTCGCGTTTCTTTCTCATCGCCAGTCTTTTACTCCCCATACCTCTCTCTCTCTCTCTCTCTCTCTCTCTCTCTCTCTCTATGTCATCTGTCCCTCTTCCTTCGCCACATCTCTCATTTCTTCTCTATATTTAACCACGCCATTTGCCCCCCCCCCCCTCTCTCTACTCTATCATCAAATGGCGGTTCAGGCTCAGTACCCATCTAACGTCCTCCTACCCGACTTCAGAAACAGGTCTGCCTCTCTGTATACTCCAGTTTCTATCTCTCTGTGGGTTTTCTTTCTCTCTCTAAATTTGTGTGGTGGTTTTGGGTTTGCAGGAACGGGCAGGATAGGAAGGAGATGTATGGTGTGGTTTTGGGCCCTGATTATGCATTGCCTGGACAGTCAGGGGGAGTGCTTAACCAGTCTCCTGTTTTCAACAATGCAGGTGAGTTGCAATCACTCCCAATCCCATTCATTAAGTAACCCACCCATTCTTTCTATCCACTCTGGACATGGGGTTTTTGCATGCTCGCTCTGTCTTTTTCTCTCTCTCTCTCTATATCTCTGATGATTTCATTGAAGACTGACAATGAGTTTGCTGAGAACCAATTTGTGCTGCAAAGGTCTTTCTCTCTCTGTTTGATATGGTTCCATTGGGGACTAGGAAAGAATTTCTCTGAGAACCATTTGTGCTTCCCTCTCTCCAGTCAAGCAATGAATTAATTGAGAACCATTTTGTGCTTCCTGGGCTCTCTCCCTATCTATCTAATGGATGCCCGCCCATTAATGGGTGGAGAATCACTTCTCTCTCTCTACCCTCAATGGATGCTTGTATTACAGGTCAATGGGAATCACTCTGCTATTTCTGGTCTCTATCTGAGCATAAGTATTTTTGGCTTCTCTCTCTAAGCACGAATGAGTTGGGGATCACTCCTTCCCATTTCTAGCCTCCCTCTCTCTTTCTCCCTCTAATTGAAGATGCTCTGCATTGCATGCACAGGAGTTGGTCCTCCTATTATGTATCAATCGAGCAACCAAGCACAAGCAGGGCAACAACGAAAACGAGCAAGAGAGACGCCAAACTGTGGTCTAGGACAACAACAAATGCCCACTGTCATTAATTTGGCCGATCTTCATCAACAACCCAATTCGAGTGTAGGGGTCGTCTCCACTGGTTTACGCCTCGCCTTCAAAGACGAGCAACAACCCACCCTCTCTTCTTCTTCTCTCTCTTCTTCTCTCTCCTCTCTAGTTTCAGAAGAGCTCTCTGCCCAGCTTAAGCAACAGAGGGATGAAATCGATCAGTTCCTCAGAGCTCAGGTACTCCTTTCTTTCTAGAATGAGTAGAAAATATTGTTCATTGGAAACGCTTTATGTTTTTATTTTGGTAACCAGAGTTTAGACTGTTATGAAAACCATAATCGAAGGCCTGCAGCTGTGACCGCTCTTTCTCCTGAAACGTCCATGAGCGAGAAACGCTGTCTTCCATGGCTTTATATTTTTCCTTTGTCTGGGGTAAAACCTAAATATTCAGGGGAGGAAAGAGAAACTCTCTCCATCTTCTATTGTTATGTCATTTCTTTATTGTTTGTGAAAGAACTCAAAACTCAACACACAAGGGAAAGGATAGGAGAGAAACACGCACTCCATTATCCAAAACCATATTTTTTGCTTATTGGATTTCCGCTCTGTCGTGAGAGAACCCAAATGTTTACAAGTTAGTATCCCATGGTCCCTCTATCATGGATAATTATCTCTTCTCTTAACATGGTGCTTGGACCTATTACTCACAGAAGATAGAGCAACTCTTATTTCTCCATGAAGCGAAATTTACAAAGCTCTTATCTTCCCATTAATACCTCCTTTTGGGTCATATTTTGAGGAATGAGAACCCAAATGCTTGAAAAACAGAAATTCTATATCTCCCAACTCCATTTTTGAAGTACCGAGATGCAAGAGAGAGAAACTCTTCCATCTTCCCTGATCCAAAATCCACTGTATCAGCAATAAAGTACTTGTCTCCCACAACAACCCAAGCCCGCCCCGCCCCCATCAGAATCATTGTAAGGATGAGAGAGAAACTCCCCCTCTCTCTTTGTGTCAAGAAAAACCATTAGAACATGGTATTGATACTGTTTGGGTTCAGGGAGAAGAATTGAGGCGCGCGCTAGCAGAGAAGAGGCGCAAGCACTGCGTGGCCCTGCTGGGCGCCATCGAGGAGGGGGTGGCCCGCCGTGTGCGGGAGAAGGAAGCGGAGATGCAAGAGGCCACCCGTCGCCACGCGGAGCTGGAGGAGCAAGCCACCCAGCTACGCATCGAGACCGAGCGATGGCAGTCCAAGGCCCGAGCCCAGGAGGCCGTGGTGGCGACGCTCCAGATGCGGCTACACCAGGCGCAGGCCCTGGCTCAGGATCACCGAGGAGGAGGCCACGTTGCCTTCGAGGGGTGTGGCGACAGCGAGGTCGGGGACGCTGAGTCGGCGTTTGTGGACCCACGCGGAGGTCCGTCGAGCGGGGTGGGGTTGTGCAGGGGGTGCGGCAGGGGGGAGGCGCGGGTCGTGTTACTGCCCTGCAGGCACCTCTGCCTCTGCACTGGCTGCGGCGCCGCCGTGGTGGCCTGCCCCCTCTGCAATGTGCCCAGGAGCCACAGCCTCGAAGTGTTCATGTCATGATCCTTCCAGCCTCTCTCTCTATCAATTGGTTTTCTCTCTGTACCAGGTGGGGTGGGGATCCGTGGTGTTCATTTGGTGCGTCCCTTTCCCCTCCCCTCTCTTTCTCTCACGTCCGTACGGCACATTGGTGTCCCATCTCTCTCTACACTACACATATATGTCCTTTGGGAGGGAGGGCATTGGGTTCTTTGTTTTTTTTTTTTCTTGAACTCCAAGGTTGGAGCTTCGTGATCCTGAGCGCGATGGGTTTTATTTGTTTATCCTTGGGCCTGAAAATTCAGGCGTACCACTTTCTCTCTCCGCACTCTATTTTCTCTCCCCCCCCAAGTTTCTCAATCAATCCAATCAAATATTTGTACTCACTCTCTCTCTCTCTCTTTTGTCTTGCAAGGCCAAGTGTTAGGCTTCCTTCACCTCCCTCTATGCTTAGGGTGTTTATTGTTGCTAAGTGCAGAACCCAGACGTACAGTGACCCTGAAAATGATTAATAATAAAAGAGTACAGTGAAGTTGAAATTGAGAAGATCGAGAAGAAAGGGTTATTTTTTTTTTCTTTTTACCACTGCGTGTAAATGGAGAGCCCCAAGTAACTTCAGATTTGTATATGAATCGCTGGGATTAAACCCTTCTTTTTCTTTTTCCATGTTTTTTTATATTGAAATTAATGTATGGATTTATTCTTTATTCGCTTTGCATACATGCTCTTCTTATTTGAAGAATGAAGTCTCTATAAGTGAAATCAAAATAAACCCTCATCTCAAATCCTCGTACTTTGGGTAATCGAAATTTTTTATGATGGATTTAAAATCAATTTTCAACCTCAATAATAAATTTTGAAATTAAAAAAATGGTACTTGTGGATCTACGCATGCTTATTTTTAAAGTCAAATGGATGGTCTAAATAACTTGTTACGACTATAGTTAGAGTTTAAAATATTAGTTTTTTTCACAACCATAATGTTCAAGTTGAGATGATTTGAGGTAAAGGTTTTTCATGAATTGTAATTTTTGAGTTACGGGATGCCTGTTTGCTTGAATTTAAGAACCCATGTATATCTCCATACTATTATTGCGAATTCTTTTGTTTTGAGTCGGGCCAGTTTAAACAAAAAAGATCTTTTTTTTGTGATTCTTGTGCACGTGTGAAGATTTTCAAAAGTTTGTAAGTTTTATTTTATTTTTGTCAAAGAATCTGGTGGTGCTCGTGAGTGCTTGATTGCTTACGCTCAAGAACCGTGAATAGCCGTAGGCTATGAATGTTATGACCCTTCTTGTCTTTTGACAAGGTTACACAGGAATGAAACTTGAAATATTGGTATAATATTTTACTCTTTACTTTATGCGGGTTTGGAGAGAGAGAGAGAACTGGGGTTTAAGAGTGCAGATGCGTAGAGAGAAAAAGTAGACAAAGAAGTGGATTATGTATTTGGAAGTAGAAAATGTCATTGAAGAAAAAAAGATAGTATTTCCTCTTTCTTTTTTTTGTTAGTGTTTACGATAAAATGATCGTTTATCAGTGTTAGGAATAAAACTCAAGATGTAAGTAGTGAAGGCGTGAAGAAAAAGATACTATTTTATTTATTTATTTTTTATCTTTTTTTGTTTTGTTTTGTGGTTAGTTATGCAAGAAAGGATCATCTATTAATGACATGAATAAAACTCAAGACTTCATGTTGTAGCAATGGAGAGTTTCTAAACTTCCCTTCTTGAGAAATGATAATCATTAAAAGAAGGGTGAATGTTTTATAGAGCCTAGGCTCTAAACTATCAAATTAGAGCTTATCTTCAAACAGTGTCGAGAAATATGGTTCCAATGTTGTAAATCTTTGCGATATCGTTAAATATATTTTTATATTTATTTATAATTTTCAAATCTTAAAAAGTAGTACAGATCGATATATCTATAAAAACTTGAAAATCTTCAAAATTTGAACTCCATTTTTTCTCATGTTCATGCATCTTGATATTGAGCTAATTAATTTGAGGATATTTGAGCATCAAAACAACATCTTCTAGTGAAATTTTTGTGGTAGGCTCTAATTTGATTGTTTAGAGCATCGGTTCTATATAAACTTTTCCCTTAAAAGAAAGATGCAGTTTGTATAGAGCTGAGGCTCTAAACAATCAAATTAAAACCCACCTTCAAATAGTTTCGAAAAATATGGTTTCAATACTAGAAAGTTTTGCGATAGCTTAAATTATGTTTTCATATTTAATTATAAAATTTAAAGCTTAAAAAATACTGTAGATCGACTAGATCTATGAAAACTTGAAAATCCTGAAGATTGACAGTCCAAAAATGTGATACAAAATGCGCTCTTTTCAAAACTTGGAATCCATTTTTTTTCTCATGTCCATGCATCTTGACGTCGAGATGATCAATTTGATGATATTTGGGCATGAAAACAACCTCTTATGTTGGGGTGAAAGTTTTGAGGCAGGCTCCAATTTGATTGTTTAGAGCCTAGGCTCTATATAAACTTTTCCCTCAAAAGAATGCGTGAAATTTGAAATATGAACAATGTCATTTTAGAGAGAAGCGGTTTAGGGTTGAAGTGTTGTGTGAAAGGAAAGCATTATTCATTGTGAAATCTTATCAGTGATATTTATGTCCGTATTAGAGCATTATGTATGTCATGCGTGGGGCATGAGGTTATAAAGGCGCATACTGAGATAAATGGGGAGGTTTTTTCACACAAAATTGGGCAACGGTGGTTGCGGAGGGGGCAGGGCTTGTGTACCAACAAACCAAGTTAATAATGAATCATGTGAAGGTCTCAGGTACAGCGGAAGATATTTTTCTTATGTTTTTCTTTTTGGTTTGTATTTATTTTATATGGATGAAATGAGGACATGCAAGCACAATTTTTTCAACTCAAAGTTGCGAACTTGGAAATTTTGTGTGTGATATTAATGAAAACGGCACAAATATCCTGCCATTTAACCACTTAAATTGTTTAATCAGGCATGATAGGAAAAGTTCATATAAGATTTCAACACTTTATTATTAGGTAGAGGTGAGGGGCACCTCAAAAACCTATCGGAAAAGGTTGTTGTGATCATTGCCGTCCGGATCAAACTGGAGCACCTGATACGACCGATTGGACTAATGATAGGTGCTTTGACTGTTTTTTTTTTTTTTTTGACAAGGTTATATACTTTTATTGATGATTCAACATAGGATTACAATTACTTTGGCGAAGTATGCTGGTTACAACTTCGTAAGCACTTGCTCCTTTCTTAGCCAAATATATAGAGAATTTGTTTTCACATTTTAAACAAGTTCGTTTTTTTAGACGACCGGTTTGACCAGCAATCAAGCGGTTTATTTTTATATCATATTGTACGAACTGTCTATTTCAAATATTCATCGAGGAAAAAGTTTATAGAAGCGTGAGGCTCTAAACAATCAAATTACGATGTATCTCAAAAATGTCACTAGAAGAGGTTGTGTTGATGCCCAAAAATCTTCAAATTGATCATCTCGATCTCAAGATGCATGGAAATGAGAAGAAATGGATTTCAAGTTTTGGAAATAGGGCATCTTGTAATGTATTTTCGGACTATCAATTTTCAAGATTTTCAAGTGTTCATATATCTACTCGATCTACACTAGTTTTTAAACTTTAAAATTTATAATTAGCTATAAAAATAAAGTTTCAGGCCATCACAAATACTTTTAGTACTAAAACAACAACTTTCAACGCTATTTAAAGGTGCGCTTTATTTTGATGGTTTAGAGCGTCAGCCTTATAACCACACCCTTTACAGAAACTGCACCGCGTGAATATTGTAAAGATGCCCATGGTGCTCAAACCTCAAGTTTTATGCACGCTAAAGCTAACCATTGGGACCAAAAAAACAGAGAACCCCGATTCCATAGGATCCAAAGTTATCTAAATCGAGCTTTTTTGACATTCAACCCTTTGAACCTCGCTTCAAATTGCAACGACTCTTATATTAATCACTCAAAATTAGGCATGGTTTTCGAATTAAAATATTGTTTTTCGGCTTCTAGTCTGTTTTCGAATTAAAATATTGTTTTTGGGCTTCTAGTCTTTACTTATTCTTCATGGAAAGAATTGAAGTAACTTAGTCAAATTCCCAAAGTATCATTTCTGAAATTTGTGGAAAATCCAAGTTTTGGATGAAACTCTAACCTTCCATACTTAATTGCAGTAGATGTATATTGTAATCAGTGTGTATGGGAAGGGTAGGTACAAAATCATGTATTTTATTGGTAGTCTAGGTATATTATAGGTGTCTATGATTTATTTTTATTTTTGTTATCGGCATTTGTCTATATAAGAGAAGCTCAGAGCCAGATTCATATTCGTCATGTCCATTCATATACCATCGAGTCTATTAATATTGTCATTAGTCGATCATGTCCGAATTTGATCCATCGAGTCTGTTAATAATGTTATTAGTCGATCATGTCCTAATTTGACCCATCTGAAAAATGGTTATTCTGCTCCTCTGATTGTTTTGCCTCTAGATTTTGATCTTAGGGTCCATATCTGTTTGATATCTGACCCCGTTAGCTAGAAAATCCAGTCTGACCGGAGATCTATAAAAAAACAAGTATTGGAGATCTGTCGGAGATAATCCTTGGCCAAAACAAAAAACCCATTGAAATCTGCTACTCTGAATCTCCTCTTTTCCTATTTTCTAAGCCCACTCTCTCTTAGCAATTTTTGGCATGCTTTTTAATTTATTCAGCCACGATTCTCTTGATTCTCCATTTTCCGGCCTTTCTTTTCATTTTTTCTCAAATTTCCTGTGAAAGTTCTATGTTTTTCTTGGAGTGTTTTTTTTTTTTTTTGGAACTCTTCATTTTGTCTGTGTTTGCTTGCTGCTCTATGTCTGGAGGCTACCTCCCGTTTTCACGCTCTAGAATAATTTTTTTTGTTCATGTTACAATATCCTATTGTAAAAATCTGTGAAGCCTCTTTTTGCGCAAAATGAAACACTGACGGACCATTTTTTGTTTTTGGGGTGGTGACAGACTACATTTGCAAAGTGTGAGTAGTAATCGTTGTTGAGAGAGAAAGGGGGCGTCTACTTGGAGGTTTTCTTTACTTAAGAGATTATTTTCATTTTATATGTTTTTGTTTCTAATATTGAGTTTGTTATTATGTTACTCGATTATGTTTTTTTCTATATTATCGAGTATGTTATACCGTTGGATCCTGTTTGTCTGTCTGCAAGCTGCTGAATCGATCACGGATATGCCATGGGTTTTGTCTATAGGAAGGGTATGTGTAGTTTCCTGTATTTTGTGGTAAGTCCACGTATATTATAGGTATATGTGATTTATTTTTATTTTTGTTATCTGTATTTGTCTATATAAAATATGCTCGTAAATTCATATTGATCAATAAACATTGAGTTTTTTCAGAGAAACCTGAGGCTTTTAACATGATAGATATTTTTCCAGACAATATAAATCTCATGAAAAAAAATAAACTTTACATTTTAAATATAGAGTAGTTTAAACTTTGATTTTGGAACGTTTATCTTAGTTCTCCACAAATCATAATGACTATGCTATTTTTTGAACCATAAAATAAGCTAAAACACAAAACATCTAAATTGAGCTAGGATGAGTTTGACATCCCAAACATTGTCTTAAATCT